TCACAAGTCGAACAATTATTATTATTATCGAATTATTATTATTATTATTTGATACACAACAAATTGAGTACACAGCAAACAAGATCACTATGCTGGTTGTTGCATTGGATCTCACCTTGGACACTTCCCAAGTGCCTAGGACTGTGTGATGTATCCTCGAATAATATCGACAGATGCGATTAGGGTGGCCTATTATTATTATTATTATTATTATTATTATTATTATTGTCGACTTTTTCCCTCTTTCCTGCTTGTTCTAGTTCCCGCCTTTTCACGATTTATAATATATTGTTTGGATCTTCACTTCCATATTGAACTGCATGATATAAGTCCACACTGACCCATATCAAAGCAGTCCCCAAGTTACTGACAAACTACTCATAGTTAAGAACTGGGTGAGACAACAGGAAGCGAGAGAAATCTACTCATAGGAACGGAAATCACTCCTGGAAGAGTTACCATAAGGAAAGGTGTCTCAATTGAAGCTTTATCACCAATCCTTGTTTCCACAACAAGCAGAAAGTGAGGGGAAATCTTCTGAACAGAGACACGGAGAACAAAACAAACACCACAGGGGCTACTGTTAACCCTTCCTTATGCTATATCCAAAGCACTCTCTCTCTCACACACACTCACACATACACTATCTATCTATCATCTATCATCCCTATCTATCTATCTATCTATCTATCTATCTATCTATCTATCTATCTATCTATCTATCTATCATCTATCATCTATCATCTATCATCTATCATCTATCTCTTTTCCTCTCATATTATTTAATGCAGAACTATGACTATAATCCTACACGGACATATAAGACATTACAGGCAGTCCCCAAGTTACGAACAAGATAGGTTCTGTAGGGTTGTTCTGAAGTTGAATTGGTTTGTAAGTCGGAACACGTACATTTTAAAATGTAATTCCATGTGTGTGTGTATATATCTACATCTATATCTATCCTGATAGATAGATAGATAGATAGATAGATAGATAGATGGAATTACATTTTTAAATGTACACGTTCCGACTTACAAACACATTCAACTTATATATATAATGTGTGTATATATAAAGTCGGAGCATGTACAGTTTTAAATGTAATTCCATATATCTATCTATCGATATAGCTATAGATACACACACACACATATGGAATTACATTTTAAAATGTACCTGTTCCGACTTACAAACAAATTCAATTTAAGAACAAACCTACAGAACCTCTCTTGTTCGTAACTTGGGGACTGCCTGTAATGCCTTATACGTCTTGTAACTCCAGTCATAGTTCAGCATCATATAATATGAGAGGAAAAGAAAGGTAGGGAGCGACTTGTTTAATAGAAACACACGAAGGTAAACAACAATATACATTTGGATCCTTCTAAATGGGCAGTACACATATGAATCTCTTGTTCTCTCACAGAGACATACGGGCATTTAGGAAATCCTGGTCTGGAGCAGTGTGTTCTCTACAATTTCAAAATATTATCCTGATCATAGGTGGGAGGATTTTCTCAGAACATGTCAATCCTTTCTGTAATATGAATATGACCACATATATTATTCAGGAACCGATGAACAAATCTTATAATGATCTTCGACTGTATTTTCGGTTGTGGCGATGGCTGAAGTGGTGTTTATCATTCTTTTTATTCACTGGCAAATTCGCTGTTGACGAGATTAATAAATAAATTCACTGGTAGGGTCTTTCCAAGAAGCAATGGCAAGTCTATTTTCCCCTTTACTTCTCGGGATAGACAATAGTTCTTAATTAAATCGATCAAATACGATTGTTAAAGTCCTGCTTTTTTGTGGGCCTCAGACTGGGGCATCCGATCCAGCTTCCAAAACATATGGCACTTTCCTTAAATCAAAATCTATGGAACCTGAACCTGCCTTTCTTGGCAGAGAAGCTGGATAAACTAGTTGCATCTCAATTCAGCTTTGAAGAACAGTTTTGAAAAACTCCAGGGAATGACAGTTTCCAACCTTTTTATGGCAGTTTCAGGGAATGTAAAGCCTGGCCAGTTTGAAGCCTGGATGGTGAGGACACAAACCACATAGTTTTGAAGTTCATTAAGGGTTGTGGTGTGCACTTTTTTTTTGGGGGGGGGGGGTTGTTTGTTTGTTTTGTGGGAACTTATTTAATGTTTGTTTGAAGCTAGCTTCGAATTGCATAGATGCTTTTAATCTAATGTTTTACTATTTGTATTGTTAATTCTGTTTGCTGTTTGTATTGTATCTTGTTGATTATGTTATTAAATGTTTATCCTACTCTATGTAGTTTATTATATTGTATTTTATTGTATTATTTATGTTGTGAGCTGCTCCAAGTCCCTTTGAGATGGGGTAGGATATAAATAAAGTGTATTATTATTATTTTACTGACACAAAACCACAGTATGTCACAGCAAACGAGATCTATATGCTGGATTTAGTATCAAAAATCACAAGTCATAGAAAATCACAGAGTTGGAAGAGACCTTATGGGCCATCCAGTCCAACCCCCTGCCAAGAAGCAGGAATATTGCATTCAAATCACCCCTGACAGATGGCCATCCAGCCTCTGTTTAAAAGCTTCCAAAAAGGAGCCTCCACCACACTCCGGGGCAGAGAGTTCCACTGCTGAACGGCTCTCACAGTCAGGAAGTTCTTCCCAAGAACTTCCCTAGAACACTTCCCAAGCGTCTAGGACTGTGTGATGTATTTCTGAATTATTATTATTATTATTATTATTATTATTATTATTAATTAGATGGGGCCTGAGGCTGAGACTGGATCTACACACTGCTGTATAATACAGCTTGAATTGCATTATAAGATCAGTGTAGACCCACATAACTCAGTTCAATCCATTTCAAACTGTATTATAAGGCAGTGCAGATACAATGTAGATCCAGCAAAATCAATGCAATTTAGTGAGGGCCCTTCCACACATCCCTATATCCCAGAATATCAAGGTAGAAAACCCCACGTTATCTGAGTGTGGACTCTGATAACCCAGTTCAAAGCCGATATTTTGGGATTTTCTGCCTTGATATTCTAGGATATAGGCTGTGTGGAAGGGCCCTGGGTTGCTGTGAATTTTCCAGACTGTATAGCCATGTTCCAGAAGCTTTCTCTCCTGACGTTTTGCTCACATCTATGGCAGGCATCCGCAGAGGTTGTGAGGTCTGTTGGAAACGAAGTGAAGTTTATATATCTGTGGAATGTCCAAGGTGGGAGAAAGAACTCTTGTCTGCTTGAGTAAAGTGTGAATGTTGCAATTGGCCACCTTGATTAGCATGTAATGGCCTTGCAATTTAAAGGCCTGGTTGGTTGCTGCCTGTGGGAATCCTTTGTTGGGAGGTGTCTGCTGGCCCTGATGGATTCTTGTCTGGAATTCCCGTTTTCAGAGTGTTACTCTTTATTTACTGTCTTGATTTTAGAGTTTGTTTGTTTTTAAATAAATACTGGTAGCCAGTTTAGGTTCATTTTCATTATTTCCTCCTTTCTGTTGAAATTGCTCACATGCTTGTAGGTGTCAGTGGCTTCTTTGTGTAGTCGGACATGGTGACTGTTAGAATAGTTCAGCAGTTCTGTGCCTTCGACAACACAATGCAGTTCAGTTCAAAATGCATTATTTTGGCAGTAAGTAATTTTGGCAGCGTAAATCCACAGGCCAACGCTGCTTAACATAGCCTCGAAGGGCATGAACCAAAGTGGTGGGATACTCCACATTCTGCCTCAGAATCCAAAGCAAAGCGAGCCTATTTTCCCCCTTTCTTCTCGGGATAGGCAATGCCTCTGAGGGCCCTTCCAACACAGCCATATAACCCAGAATATCAAGGCAGAAAATCCCAAAATATCTGCTTTGAACTATCTGAGTCCACACTGCCGTATATTCCAGTTCAAAGCAGATCATGTGGGGTTTTATTCAGCTGTGTGGAAGGGGCCTGAATTTTTAAAAAATCAAGTATGCTGATTAAAATACTGTATTGCTTTTTGTGGGAACACCCGTCAGTCTTCCAAAACATAAGACACTTCTCTTAAATCAAAATCTATGGGCCCAGGTAAACACATGGGACGGTCCCAAAACGGATGTCTAACACTATGTAACTAGCTGCCACCAACAATGTTGAATTGATTGTGACTTGGATGAGATATTCACTGAACAGCTATAGCAAAATAGGTAAAGGTAAAGGTTTTCCCTGACTTTAACTCCAGTCGGATTCTGGGATTTGGTGCTCATCTCAATTTCTAAATTGAAGAGCCGGCGCTGTCCGTAGACACCTCCAAGGCCATGTGGCTAGCATGACTGCATGGAGGGCAGTTACCTTCCGGAGCGGTACCTATTGATCTATTCACATTTGCATGTTTTCGAACTGCTAGGTTAGCAGAAGCTGGGGCTTACAGCGGGAGCTCACTCCGCTCCTCGGATTCCAACCTGTGACTTTTCGGTCAACAAGTTCAACAGCCCAGTGCTTTAACCCACTGCTTTGCCGTTTAATACCCTTTCCCCCATGCTTTTATGATAGAACCGATTCGGAAGTGACATTTAAAACCCAGGAACAAGAACCGTGATCCAATGGAAGTATTAGACCCGGCCCCAAAGCCTACCTGAGGCTTGGCGAGAGGGGCCTGCTGACCCTGGCCATAGAAGGCAGCTTCAGGATGCAGCTTAACCGCATTGGAGAGGATTATATGGCAGTATAAATGAGGTCTTTGCTCATTTATACTGCCATATAAAAGAGAAAAGGAGCCAGATAAGCAGTGGGTTAAACCCTTGTGCCGGCAGGACTGAAGACTGACAGGTTCGAATCCGAGAGCGCGGATGAGCTCCCTCTGTCAGCTCCAGCTCCCCATGCGGGGACACGAGAGAAGCCTCCCACAAAGGATGGTAAAAAATCAAAACATCCTGGCGTCCCCTGGGCAACGTCCTTGCAGACGGCCAATTCTCTCACACCAGAAGCGACTTGCAGTTTCTCTCTCACACATACACACACAAAACTCACCTGTGAAGCGGTCCTTGGTGTAGCGCCGGTTGCTCTCCATCCAGGGGAAGGTCAGCCCGGTGAGGTTGTTGACGGAGGGCACGGTGGGCATGGCGGTGGCCAGGGCCTGGGGGTGGACGCCGCCCGCGAGGGGCCGGTGGGCCGGGACCCGGATGACGCCCCCGCCCGCTCCCGCCCCCGCCCCGTTCATGGCCCCGACCCCCAGGTTCATGTTGTAGGAGCCCGGCAGAGAGGCCGCCATGCTGCAAGGCCCGCCGGGCTGGGGGTACGCCGAGGAGGAGGAAGAGGAGGAGGACGAGGAGCCGGTGTTGCCTGCCCCGTTGCCCGAGCCGTAGTGGGCAGCCATGGGGTTGTAAGGGCCGCCGCATCCCGCCAAGCCGTACTCCGCCGCCGCCTCTTGCAGCCGCGCGTTGGAGATCATGCAGCTCCCTTGGTCCGGGTTGTTGAGGATCTGGTCGATCCCGAAGCTGATGGGCTCGGCGTGGCTCTGGTGGAGGTGGTGAGCCCCTAAGTGATCCATGCCGGGGCCCAGCAGGGCGAGCTCCCCTCCACTCCTCCTCCTCCTCCTCCTGCTCTTCTTCCTCTTCCTTCGCTGTAAACTCCAAGCTGGAGAGGTTTGAAAAACACGCTCTGCTTCTCTCGCCTGGCTCCCAATGAGAAGGGGGAAAAAGGGGGAGGGGGTGGAAAGCGGTGCAAGGAAGGAATAAAGGGGGGAGGAAGGGGAAACCGGTTGCGGGGACCAAGGCGCCCCTCGCTTGGCTCTCCGGCTCCGTTTCCTCCGGCTCGCCTGGCTACAAGGGCATCGACCAGGGTCGCCCCAAACCCGGCGCCTCCATTGGCCGCGGCCAGAAGAAGGCGGATGAGTGACAGCCTTAAAGGGGAGGAGGGAGGGTGGGAGAGGAGGAAAAGGGAAGGGGGGGGGGCGAAGGAGTTTTTCTCCGTGCCCTGAGCCAAGCGAAAGATCCCCCGCGGATGCCAACCAGGCTCCTTATAAAGTCAAGTGCTCCAAGCCAAGGAAGAAGGGCCCAGAAGGGAAGGAAGGAAGGAAAGAAGGAAAGGAGGGAGGAAGGAGGGAGAGAAGGAAGGAGAGAAGGAAGGAAAGAAGGAAAGGAGAGAGAAGGAAGAAGGAAGGAGGAAGGAAGGAAGGAGAGAAGGAAGGAAGGAAAAGGAAGGAAAGATGAAAAAAGCTAAATGATGAAAAGCTAAATGACAATACAGAAAAAAGGAAGAAAGAGGGAGGGAAGGGGAGAAAAGGAAAGAAAGAAAGGAAGGAAGGAAGGAAGGAAGGAAGGAAGGAAGGAAGGAAGGAAGAAGAAGGAAGGAAGGAAGGGGTTATGGGCTCTCTTTCCTCTCCTCCTGCCGTGGAAGCGTCCCACTCTGTTGCCAATCCGTGGACTGTGTATGTCGATAGAGAAGAGGCGCTTTCTCTCCTCCAAACACTCACCAGGTTATTGTTGAAGGCTTTCATGTCCGGAATCACTGGGTTGCTATGAATTTTCCCGGGCTGTATGGCCATATCCCGGAAGCATTCTCTCCTGACGTTTCTCCTGCATCTATGGCAGGCATCCTCAGGGGTTGTGAGGTCTGTTGGGAACCAGCATGTGGACAATTTCAACAGAAAGGAAGAAACGATGAAAATTAACCAAAAAAAAAAAACCTTATAAAATCATAACAGTAAATAAAAAACAACACTAAAAAAAAGGGGGGGGGGGGAAGAGATTCCAGACAAGAAACAATCAGTGCCAGCTAATCACTTCCCACCACCTCCCAACAAAGGATTCCCCCAGGCAGTAAGAAGCCTGGGGACAATTTCAACAGAAAGGAAGAAACCACTTAAATGAACAAAATCTGGCTACTAGTATTTTTTTTTTAAAAAAACAACAACTCTAAAATCATAACAGTAAATAAAGAACAACATTCAAAACAGGGGAATTCCAGACAAGAAGCAATCAGGGTCAGCTAAACACCTCCCAACAAAGGATTCCCCCAGGCAGTAAGAAGCCAGATCTTGAAACTGCTAGGCCATTAAGTGCTAATCAAGGTGGCCAATTGAAACATTCACATCTAGCTCCAACAGACAAGAGTTCTTTCTCCCACCCTGGACATTCCACAGATATATAAATCCAATTTTCTTGGTTCCCAACAGACCTCATGACCTCTGAGGATGCCTGCCATAGATGCAGGCGAAACGTCAGAAGATAATGCTTCGGGAACATGGCCATACAGCCCAGAAAATTCAACAACCCTCTCACCAGCTTGTTTGTGCTTGGTGTGCTTTCAGGTTACTTCCCATTGACCGGAAGGCCAACCCAACCCATCACTGAGATTTCTTTCTTAGCCTCTTGGGAAAGGAGTTCATCTTCACCTCCCTCAGAGGCTGAGAGAGTGTAACTTGGGGGTTATAGTTTTACAAGGCCTTTCACCTTCCCTGCCAAAGAGTGCGGGAGCCTGACCAAACTACAACTCCCAGGATTCCATTGCATTGAGCCATTGCAGTGCAAGGAGCACCAAACTGTATTCATTCAGCAGTGTAGAGCCACATAGAGTCCAATAGGCAAACCACTGTGCTGTTTCACTCTTTATCCCACTCTACACTACGTGTATTTACCATACATTTTCTCAACCCGGAAGAGGACTTAAGGTAGCCTTACAAAGGCAACAATTCAATGCCATATATATATCAATGAATAACCAACCAATTAAAATATAACATTAAAACAATAATTAAAATCACATAAACCAGGTCATATTACAGGGCCAGTCCAGGTTGTCATTAAATTCATTTATAATCTCTTATTGCCTTGCTCCCATACAGTTATTATAGACAGGGGCTTCTAAAATGCTATCTCCCTTTAATAAATGAGGGGAAAGCCCAGGATGGAAAGTCCCAAAGTATTCTCCTGATGCAATTGAAGCTGGCCCCTTTGGCCCCTTCTACACTGCCATATAATCCAGTTCAGAGCAGATAATCTGGATTTTACGTGGCAGTGTAGAAGGGGCCTTTATTCCCACTTCTTTATTTAGAAGACACTTCTTTGCAGGAGCTCCCTCTTTGTAGATGACAGGGGGAGCATCATTACTGTAGAATTAATGAAATTTAACATTACTTTAACTGACAGGGCTCCGTGCTAGGGAATCCTGGGAGTTGTAGTTTTACAAGAGCAAAGTCGTCCTGGAGCCTCAGCAAACTACAACTCCCCTGATTTAATAGCATACAGCCCTGGCAGTTAAGTTATTACACATTCTTTTACATTCAGAGCTAAATTCTGCATTTGACATATGGCACATGACCACTCTTTACTCTGCTTTGCCCATAGAAAACCAGGATAACCATATCTAAGTAACTAGAGCTAATGCAGTCCATCCAATGCAATTTCCTGAATCAGATCTCCAAATGACCCCAGTAAGAGACACCAGAGACATGTTTATTGTGTGTAGACGAAAAGGATATGGAGAGGGCAAAAGGAAGGCAGACATACTCATGTACCTATACCTGAAGTTACATAATCTCAGGCCCCTACCAAACAGTAGAATAAAATCCTACATTTTCTGCTTTGAACTGGTATATATGACAGTGTGGACTCAGGCAACCCAGTTCAAAGTAGATATTGTGGGGTTTTCTGGGTTGTATGGCTGTGTGGAAGGACCCTCAGTGACATCCCCTGATTTGGATGATGGACCTTTCCTGCCTAGAACTCCACACAGAGAGAGAATGTATTTTTAAGTTGTAAACAAATAAACAGTGTGTAGAAGAGTTTCCCATCTCCAGGGCAGTTGCTGTCTCAGTTCCCCCTTGGGTTGCTTGCATTCTCCTTTGAATCCCCAGGGCAGATGCAAACTGTGGACTTTTATATACCTCCCACATCCAACCTTGTTGTGCAAATCATGGCCATTCTCTTGGATTTTCTCTCAGGTCCAAAAGGGGAATTATCAGCCAGATCTATTAATATCATAATGATTGTGTAGGGAGAGCCTGGTGCATGAGTCCAACTCTCTTGAAATCCAGCCAAGGCCTAGTGATCCAAGGAGATCACTTCCCAGACCATAGACTGAGAGAGCATCATAGAAGCAGAGAGCTGAAAGAGACCCTAAGGGCCATCTAGTCCAACTCCTATCTTGCAGGAACACATAACACAGTGTAGCACTATTTTTCCCCTGGGTTATAAATGTCATTTCCTAATTGGTTATCATAAAAACATGGGGAAAGTTTATTAAACTGCAAAAAACTTTGTTTTTGCGGGACATCCTGCAGCACATTTTGCTATAGTTGTTCAATGAATATCTCATAGAGTCCCAACAATTTCAACATAGTTTGTGACAGTTTCTGGAGTACAACAACTACTTTCAAAGTAAGTACCACACACAATTAAACAGAAACAACACTTTCAAAGCAGGAATATAATTGTTTTCAAATTTTATTGCATATTGTAATCAAAGCACTCCCAGCAGATGGCCATCCAGTCTCTATTTACAACCCTCTAGAGATTCCACTACACTTTGCTGGAGATGTTTGTGTGCATTTGCCTTCAGATTGCCTGTTGATTTGTAATTCACGCATTTCCTAGGGTTTTCTTATTAGGCAAGGACTATTCAGACCTGGTTTGTCATGGCTTCCTTCTAAATTTTATAGTCTACAGTAGCTGGTGTCCCCATTTAAGTACTAACCAAGGCTAACCCTGCTTAGCTTCCAAGATCAGTCCAATGGTTTAAGGGATCTGGTCCTAACTTGCTCAGGGCCCTCAGGGGCCTTCTACACAGCCCTATAACCCAGAATATCAAGGCAGAAAATCCCACATTTTTTGCTTTGAACTGAGATATATGGCAGTGTGGATTCAGATAACCCAGTTCAAAGCAGATATTGTGGGATTTTCTGCCTTGATATCGTGGGATATAGGACTGAGGGCCCTTCCAGACAGGCCCTATATACCAGGAATCATGAAAGGATGTATTAAAACGATATGTGTCATTCTCCTCGGTGGTTGTTGTTGGTGGCAGGGCATAGTAGTGGTTACTGACTATGTATTTTATAAATCAACTTTCTTCCACTGTGGGATTCACGAATACTAATGAAAGCCTGTCTTTCAGATAGTCTTCCAATGAGGTTTTTAAAAGGATCTATTGTTACTACAATCGCCCTAGAAAGTCCATGTGATCAGCCAGAGTGGGTAGGAAGAAATTTCAGGAAGTAACTTCCGGTGGAAGTTCTGTTTCCATCTTGGTTACTTACAGGAGTGTGATTCTAGACTTCCCTTGGTTCATTATATCGTGTAGCGGACTTGAATTCGGGGAATGGCCTTTGTTCTCTTCTACATCTTGTCTTAGGGCCCTTCCACACAGCTCTATATCCCAGAATATCATGACAGAAAATCCCACATTATCTGAGTGTAGACTCAGATAACAGTTCAAAGCAGATATGGGATTTTCTGTCATGATATTCTGGGATATAGAGCTGTGTGGAAGGGCCCTAAGACAAGATGTAGAAGAGAACAAAGGCCATTCCCCGAATTCAAGTCTGCTACA